AAAACAATAATACCCTTACTGTGGGCACTGCACTTTTTTCCTATGTATTTGTGAAATAACAGAAAATATATATAGTGGTCTCTGCCCCCGGTTCCTGACACAGGACTCCTAAACCCCTTGTAATTTCCTCAGTGATGAGAGCAAGAGGAGCATCCTTTGTTCTAATATTTGATCTTTGACCCTGTCCCTGACACAGACCTCCTAAAGCTCTTGTAATTTCACAGGTGATACGAGTGTCTTCTTCTAATGAGCTGAGTCTTGGTGGGCTCCTGGATGGGGGCTGGTCACCAGAAGACCAAGCTATGATTAGAAGCTTGGAACTTTCCACCCACCCTCCACCCTCCGGGAAGTGGAGAGGGACTAGATGAGGAGTTAATGATCAATCATGCCTATGTGATGAAGCCTCCATAAACATCCCAAAAGTACGGGTTCAGAGAGCTTCCAGGTCAGTGGCCACATCTACACGCCAGGAGGTTGGTGCACCCCAACTCCACGGGGACAGAAGCTCCTGCACTCGGGACCCTTCTGGCCCTCGCCCTATGTATCTCTTCATATCCTGTATTATATAATAAACCAGTATACACAAGTGTTTCCCTGAATTATTAAACCCAAGCAGGGGTCATGGGAACCCCAACTGATAGCTGGTTGCTTGGAAATACAGGAGACTACCTGGGACTTGTGACTGGTGTCTTAAGTGGGACAGTCTTGTGGGATTTAACCCTTAACCTGTAGGACCTGACACTAACTCCAGGTAGATAGATAGTGTCAGAACTGACAGAACTGAATTGAATTATAGGACACCCAGCAGGTGCTGCAGAATTGTGTGGAGAACCCGTACATCTAGTGTCAGGAGGGTTGTAAGTGTGGGAGTATTGTGAGAGTAAAGGAGAAATATGCAGAATGTTTTTCCCAGACATGTTCTATTTCATTAATATATATATGTATAGGTCATAAACCAACAAATTGATATTTCTAGATCTAATACACTTCCTTCCATTTGATACATTAGGAAACAGAGGCTCAGAGAAGTGCAGTGACTTGCCCCAGGGAACACAGTCAGCCAGGACTCAGGCTTTTCAGGACACTGGCAGATTTTGTGTGGGAAGGCCCTAGGCAAAAGTCAAAAATCATCCTTGGCATACTCCCAGAGAATTCTGCACTCCTGTACCTTCTAAAGCCTGTGGGCCAGGACCTGCCGGGGAAAAAACCAACAAAGCATGTGTGTGATTAGTTATATGCAGTAGTCACCTTAAAAATACAGGTTCTTTAGAAGATGCAAATGGGATCACTTTAACTCCTCTACTTGAATTCCCTCAGTGGCTGGCTGTGGTTTTCAGGCCAAATACAAATTCTCAGTGTGGCCATAAAGGCTCCTCCAGACCTGGCCCCAGTCCTGCCAGCCAGCCTCACTCTGTACCACTTCCCCACACGCACCTTCAATGTCTCTCTTCCATTCTTGACCCGGCTAAATCCTGTTTTTCACGACTCGACTCACATTCTTCTTCTGCGAACCTTCCCTGCTGCTTGCTTTCCACGCCTCCGCCACAGCGAGCCTCCTACTGTCCCTGAACCTCTTCATCTGTCTTCTCTACTGGACTGTGGCATTCTGAGGAGCCAAGGTCAGGTCTTTCCGTTTGCTGTCCCTGGCACGTCCTTGGGCTCAGTACACAACACGAACTCAATAAGTATCGGGTGAAGTGAATATCTGCAAATTCTTACTCTCAAATTGTAATCCTAAAAAACCCCAATTCACTGGAATATCGGCCTCTGAATTATGTAAGAGCTGGTTTTGACGATGCAGATCTCCATTTCCTACTATCTTGAGAGTATGAACAAAAACTACACCTATCTCAGGAGAAATGGATGCAAAAACCCAGTCCTGATTTCTTTTTTTTTCCTCTTTATTTTAATGCATTTTTGTTAAGGGGGTGGTTTTGTTTTTTAACCTCCAGTTTGTAGGCTAGGACCAATGATCAACACAGCCTCTGCCCCTCCCTCTGGTGGCTCAAAGAAGTGGCCCTCCCACCTGAATCCCCAGACCGAGAGCCTCTCCTGGATCACTGATGAGGGGCACACAGCAACCCTTCTCTGCACGCCACCTTACAACATCCCCCAAAACATGGGTCAGTAAGTAACTTACCATCCATCATTAAGGAGGGGAAGAAATCAGAGTGAATGAGAGACAATTAAATGCTAATACGACTAAGTACAGTGAGTAATGAAGGGGGAGGTCGACCAGGGGGGACTTCGGAGGTCACAGATGGATTTGTAAAAGAGTGAATCATAGAGACTAGGTTGAGAATTGGGTAGAGGGATGGGGAAGGAAGCATTTCCAGGTGGGAACCAGCATGAGCAATGGGCAGATAAGGATGTGGGCAGAGAAGACTTGCCTGATCAAGAGCCCGTTTGCACTGGGGAGGAGGCAGGCATGAAATGAGGTGAGAAGGAATGGGTATGCTGGCATCCCGACAGAGCAGGGGCCAATTATTCATTATCCCTGACTCCACGCAGCACTGTGCTGGGTATGAAGCACATTCAGATTTACTTACCATTTTGATCTTCGCTATGCCCTTGTTAGGAGAGCAGGATAGATGTTGTGGGCTTTTTATTATAGAAATGGCAGAAGACTAAAGGAGATTAACAAAATTAGCCCAGGGGCCAGCCCAGTGGTGTAGTGGTTAAGTTTGCACACTCTGCTTCAGCAGCTCAGAGTTCATGGGTTTGGATCCCGGGCGCGGACATACATTACTCATCAAGCCATGCTGTGGTGGCATCCCACATACAAAATAGAGGAAGACTGGCACAGATGTTAGCTCAGGGCCAATCTTCCTCACCAAAAAAAAAAAGAAAATTAGCCCAAGTCACACAGCTAGCAGCTAACCAGACTGACAGCCGAGAGCTCTAGACCTCTCCCTACTTCACAGACCCAAGGTCTGGTGTGGGCCTCACAAGTCACACAGCTAAACGTCCTCATTTTGCAAATGAGGAAACTGATGACCAAAGTGCTGAAGCAGTTTTTCCAAGGTCACCCAAAAGCAGAATTTAGGAGACTGGCTGGTAGCAGCCTTACTTCCTACTGGAGGGGTTTGCATTATACTAGCTGGAGAGGTAACCCACAGGAAGAACCCTCACGTTGCAGAGAAAGAACTGTTACTTTGACCAAACAAAAATATTTTCTAATGTTTTATAACTGTTGGGATGGCAGTCTATTATATAACTGTATTCTTAAAAATGGAAATTTTTATAAACTAAAAATTAAAAGTTTTTTTAAGTGAAAAACATTCTAAAAAGAAAAACCAGAGCTGCCTGGGGAGAGGGATCTCTCTGGGGAGGTAGATCTCCACCACCTACCGGAGCTCCTCAGAACTTTTTTCTGCCACGGATGAATTTTCAGGTCTTCATCAATCAGAAAAAAAATTTTTTTACTTTTTAAAAAAAAAACTACACACTGTCCCCAAACTGTCATCTCAGCATCTGTTAGCAAAGGATAACTAATATTTCCTTTATGACGAGTACATCATCCAGATGACACATTATTATACTTTTTTTCTCCCCAGAAATGACACGGCTTGAGAAATGACTTGCTGAGAATCCGTGTTTACATTAGGGAGAGTGGGGGAAAATCCCTTGCAGAAGTTGAAAAGATGTTAAGTGGTAAATACCAAAATGCCCAGCAAGCACGTAAGCAGGCTCTCATCCTCGCAAGATGTGCAGCTCAGCGTTTTAAATTTTACTTTTAGCTTTTCTAGCAGTTTGAATTAACCCTTTCTCTACTTCCGCTCTCTCTGTGAGAGGTCCGCCCTTAGCCTATGGACTGGAAGTGCTGTCAGTCCTCTTCGATTCAGCCGCAGATAATCCCCCACCTGGGCAGCCTCGCGAACAACTGCCTCCTGGACTTCCTTACTCTCCGGAGTCTCGGGGCAGTGCCTCCCCGGACAAGAGTTAGGAAGTCAGTCCAGCTTGCTGGATCTATACATAGAATTGGAAAAGGCCCGTTGACAGACCAAAACAATGCAAACAAACGCCACACTGATGGTTCTCCGTGAGCACGTGCAACAGAATCACCCAGATGGAGTGTTTCAGAAGGTGGTGCCAGCATTTGTCCCTGGACAAGATGCTCCGGTGATTCTCAAGTGCATCCTTCCCTGACAGACACGAATCTAGATGCTCTACAAAGCCAAAGATGGGGTGGCCGGATGGTGTAGTGGTTGGGTTTGCATGCTCCGCTTCAGTGGCCCGGGCTTTGTGGGCCTGGATCCTGGGCGAGGACCTATATACCCCTCAGCAAGCCATGCTGTGGTGACCTCCTACATACAGAAAATAGAGGAAGATTGGCACAGATGTTAGCTCAGGGACAATCTTCTTCAAGCACATAGAGGAAGACTGACAACAGATGTTAGCTCAGGGCTACTCTTCCTCACAAAAAAAAAAACAAAAAAAAAAAGCCAAAGGCATTTTTCTCTTAGTTTCAGCCCCTAGCAAGTTAAAATGAAAAATAAAACAAGCAACCTAAAACCAAAAATTCTTCAAGATTAGGTTCATCTTAATACTTTACTGGCTATTAAACTTACTGACAGACTGGGTGGATAATAATCAAATATAAGAAAGGTGAGCATTTAATGAATATTTGTATAATACTTTACAATATTTTCTTGAGCATTAATGATGTCACCTGGTTCTCACAGCAACCCTATGAGGTAGCTTGTTATTCTCATATTAAAGATGAAGAAAACAAGTCTCAGAGACATGAAAAAATGACCTGGAAGTGCCCTAATGATGCCAGTATTTCTGTTACGAGTTAGATTCACTTTGTGCTATTTAGAGTGATTTGTGTCTTTGGAGGTGTTCCTTCTAAACATACAGTATATCAGTTGCTGCACACATTTGCTTCCAAGGGAAAAAAAAATCCATGTCAAAAACTTGGCGAGCTGAAATCTCCCACAGTATTGGTCCTATTAAAAGCAGGGTTGGCCTGGTAAACTTCAGTGTTCTTCATGCTGCAATTTCTAAGCTCTTTGGCTCAGTAGGAGAGTCTGAAGAACAAGAACAAAACAAGAGCCAAGAGATAAAAGGAAGTTAACTGAGCAGTAAAGACTTATTTCAAGAATATCAGTTCTAAAATAAAACCACCCAGTCTTGTAGTTGGGTGAGTGTTATTACAGCAAAGTAAAAAGCTTCCTAAATGATTGGGTGCTGGTTGTTTGGAAAATTAAGAAACAAGTCAGCGTTCAACCTACTAGAGATGAAAGCAGACAATATATGGTGGGGCCAGCAGGGACAACATATCTTTGGGACACCAGGATCTTTGTAAGAGCAAAACATGCAGTGTAGGCTTTTCTCTTTACCTTGTTGATGGACGTTTCATTCACCCTGAGAGGCTGCTCTGGCATAACTCAGAGGTAGATTCAGCCCAACAACTGGCCCCACAACGCTCAGCCATGACGTGATATAGTTGACGTTCCTGGGAAACAATGAAAATACAGGCAATTCTAATGTTTCCATTGTAGTTTGGAGGAATGGTAGAAAATCAGTTACCAACAATAAAAGAAATGAGACTTTCTTCAAAGATGTGCGCCCAACACTTGGAATCCCAGCACTTCCAAATGCCAGGCCCATTGCTTGACAAGGACTCAAGGTCCAAAGAGATTGTGAGGATCCCTCACTAAGGTAGTTGAAGGGGAGTCAAGGCATTGGGGCTCCTGGCTCCCCTCAATGATTCCAACTTTACACTCAAAATGTACAGCGTTTGCTAAGGTAGCAGAGTGCACTGTTCAGAACATGGCTTTGAGGCAAAAATGCCTGGGTTCTGATCCCAGTTCCACCACTTAACTAGCTGTGTGACCTTGGCCGAGTCACTTCATGCCTCCGTGCGTTAGCTTCCTCCTCTGTAAACTGGGTAAAATAATGGAACTTAGCTCATAGCGGTATTATAAAAATCTAATGCATTAATATATCTAAAATACTTAGAACAGTGCCTGGCACATAGTAAAAATCAATAAATGTTAGGCATTATTATTATTACAGAAAATATTTCTTTTTTAGCTTAGCTTTCAGAGTCACATAAAAAGATTTACACTTTTAAAATAAGAGTAAAAGCCAATGTATCTTGATGGTGCTTCTTACCCATTGATTTTTCGAGAATTCTTTAGCACAGGAGTCATGAACTCATCCGTCTTGCAGGGATGAAGTACACAAAAGGGCTGCCCGAGTATGGGATGCTCCTGTAAGAATCAGAGTCAGCCCAGGATTGCCAGTGTGAGTTACTTTGAAAAAGTTAAAACACATAATCTGGTTTACTCCTTTAAAATAAAGCTTTATTTTAAATGCCAAGTTATTAAATTAAGATGCAGAGAGATTTCAGTTTGAAATGTAATTCATAATCCAAACATGAGAAGTTGGCAACAAGCAGTTATGCACGTAGAGTGGTCTCGTCAAGTACCGGAGGGCACATGGTTTGTTTACACAATACACACTGTCGATAAATTTTGTCCATTCCCTCTTACTCTTTGTCAGCTAGTGTTCCTCTCTGGCCTAATTATTCTTCAGTGTTTCCTCAAGGATGTCTGTGAAGCCCAGTAGCCTGACCACCATCTGAACAATGTACTTCATTCGCCTCTTGGTTAGTGGTAAGGGAACCAAAATCATTTGCACATTTTTTACATGAATTTTGTCAACTTAATTGTTTCAGGCCTAACTGCATTCAGTGCCAATGGGCACTTGTTCAGAGGGTAGAAAAGGGTGAGGGAGAATGGCCTCCATTATTTAAATTGTTCTGCTTCTGTCTGTCTGTCTGTCTGAGTTTTCTCTGTTTCTCTCCTTCTGTCTGTCCTAAGTTCGTAGGGCTCTTTCTATAAGCGAAAAGCCCATACGATGGAATTCTACTGCCTGTATGAGAATGAGAGGATATAAAACACAGATCAGACTGCTGCCAGGTTAGGGATGTGGACGTCATTTGGCAAGCCATGGGAGCCCTAGACGGTCTCTACGTAATGAGTGATCTCTGCACAAATTCTACCAACACAAAAGCAATTATTGACAATACATTTATCGATTGTTTACACTGCGGATTAACCAGGTTGCTTGAGATGCAAACTCAAATACTGCTGTGGTCTGAATGTTCATGTCCCCGAAAATTCATATGTTGAAATCCTAATGCCCAGTGTGATGGTATTAGGAGGTGGTGCCTTTGGGAAGTGATTAGGTCATGAGGCTAGAGCCCTCAAAAATGAGATTCAGGTCCTTACAAAAGAGGTTCCAGAGAGCTAGCTTGTCCCTTTCCACTCTGTGAGGACAAAGAGAAGTCTGTGACCTGGAAGAGGGCCCTCACGAGAACAGGCTGGCACCTTGATCTTAGACTTCCAGCCTCCAGAACTATGAGACATAAATTTCTGTTGTTTATAAACTACCCAATCTGTGGTATTTTGTTGTAGCAGCCCAACTAGGCCAATACCTATGAAGGCCAGGCAGGTGATCTGGAGGAGTGAGGCCAGTTAAACACACCAGCAGGTGATGGGAACAGTGAGACTGGAGAGGGCACCCAGCCAAGGCTGTGCCTGCCACTCTGTTCCAGCCAACTGTGCCATGTGGGAATGCAGGTTCAGTGTGCCAGGTCTTTCCATTTGTCAAAATAATCTACAAATCCAGATTTTTATGTAAAACTTCCTAAATTTAAACCTTGGCACGATTTTTTTTTTTTTTCAATATGGTGTGGGCCAAATCAAACAAGCCTGTAGGCTGGATTTGGACTGGGGGCTGCCTAGCCTCTTCTCCTGGCTTCTTTTCCTCTTCTCAGCCAGTCCAAGCAGAAGCTGAACTCAGAGCTGTGTGTGGGAAGATTATGTGTGGTTGTCCCTGCTGCCTCCACCCTCCAACCCCAAAGCATTCATGTCTGCGTGCAGATGCACACACCACTCACAAGAAATGGGAGGGACAATTCCACTTGTATTGGAGACACTGGTGTGGAGACGTGGGGTGTATGTGTGTGGTGAGGACTGAGGTATCCACTGGGTGTGGGTTGGTGTATGTCTCCCCAAGTGTCACCTCCAGATGTTTCTGCCCAGTGGCCTGATTTTACAGCAGAGCCTGGGCTCCCTCTGTCCAGCTCACCCTACCTCTCATTCCCATCCCTGACCAGACCCTGGAGTCGCAGCCCAGATGTGCCAGGCCTATAGCACATCCTCCTGTCCAACTTGATTCTGGCTTCCCTCACCTGCCTTAAACTAATACTTATTAATTCAACTCATATCTATTGGTCATCTCTTATGTGTCTGCCAGGAACAGTTCTGGATATAGTCATAGAGATCACTGTTATCTCAAAGATAACAAAGTCCCCAATCCCCTGGAACTTATATTCCAGTGCAGGAGACAGCCAATAAACACACAGAACAAATAAATAAACAAGACAATCCAGATAATAATAAGTGCTATGAATGAAATAAAACAGGGTAACATGATTCTGGAGGGACTGTGGTGATATTTAAATTTGGTGAAAGGGAAGCCCTTACTGAAGAGGCGGTCTTTAAACGTAGATCAGAATGGCAAGAAAAAACCAACGATGCAGACGTCTGGGACAAAGTGTTGGAGGCAGAAGATTGTAAAGGGAAATGAGCAAGGAAACGTTCATAGGAAATGCAAAAGAATTTTAGAATTATCCTGGACTAAAATAATTACTGTTTAGAGGATTGCAGCCTCCCCTCTTCTCCAAGAGTTGTTCTCCCTTTGGTGTGCCTTGAAGATTTGGCCACTTGCACACTCATGGGGAAACTCCTCCAGCTTTAAACACTTGAGCCTAAGCTTCCCGTAGCTGAGGTAGAAGGGACTAGTCAAACAAGACTCTACTAAAAGTCTGGGAATACTGAAAGGGTAGTAAACACACAAAGCTACGGGCTCTTAAAGATCCAGACCGTTGTAGTACTGGGGCTCCCAAGCCCATCGGAGTCGCGTGGGACACCAGGAAGAGATCTTGGTTGGGCCTTCCCTTCCTGGCCTACGTGTGGATGGAAGTACTCACAACGACCACTAAGAGTGTCCCCCAAGAATCTTAACCCCTCACTGTTCAGTTTCCTCGAGGAGTTGGTGACTGTCATGAGGAATGGCTTCATCATACAGTCAAGACCTTGCCTCTTCCTTACAGGCTTATGGCCTGTAAGGCCGAACCTTTACAAGACCTCAAAAGAACAACCAAATCAGAGTATAACATACATCCAAGAGATACAGACACACTTCAAGTTCAGGGGACCATTTTCTAAGCAGATCTAGGCAGCTCTGCTCATTTGATGCTGCTTAGTAAAGACTTGGACTTGATTTCTACAAGTCATCTTTTGCACAGTCCATATAGCAAGTGGATAAGAGCAGGCATGGGCTCTGCGACTAACACTGGAGTCACTTCCTACTCCACTACTTAGCAGCTGTGAGCTTTTTGGGCAAACCACTTAACCATTTTATGCCTTTGTTTCCTGATCTGATAACTGGGACTAATGATAGCATCAACTTCGTAGAACGATTATGGTCCTTCAATAAGAAAATGCCAGAAAAGTGTTCAAAACAGTGTCTGACACTTAGTTCACCATTATTATTCAACCCATTGATATGTAAAACAGACAAGGATAAAGGCACTCAGACATCCAGAATATGGTCTATGATACCCTATAATAAAGGCCAAGTTCAACATCTAAAAACAGGAAGCTCCTATAAAGTTATGCAGCATGTTAAAAACATCACTGACTAGTATCTAAATGTCTAGGAACATTTGACAACTGATTATAATCAAAGAGAAGAGAAGTCTGAGTTAGGAAAAAGTCTAGGTATATATGGCAAGTGGAACAATCAATATATTGGTATTTAGGACAAATTAATGGAAAATAATTTAAATGAATTTAAATTAAAATAAAAGACGAGGCACTTCAAAACACTTCCGTAATCTACAACATTTTAACATCCATTTTCCTTCAAACAACATAAAAACAGTCATATTAGCATTTAAATCATATTAAGTCATATAAGCATTAAGTTCTAACAAAATTAAATGCATGGTAATGCTCATGTGAACACCTTTTTAAATAATAGAGACTTTCATGCCTTAGAAGAGCTTTTAGTGCAGCTTAAACATTTCTTTAACACAGCTTGGCCACCTGAAAAAAAATAAAACTTAAAATTCTTTATCCTTTACTATACTGAGAACTTAAATCTATGTAATTAGACAGAATATATTAAAATGAAATGACTGTCTTTAAAAATCAAGAGTTTAAACTGGATTTTAAAATAAAAGTTATATTGTTTTGGTAAGATGCTTTTGGTTTTAAAAGTCAAGCTATGATATGCTGATCAGCTTAAATAGGAATTATTATAAGGCATATTTGTGCAATCTTTTAAGAAATGTTTCATAAATAAATAACAATAGGAGTGGACTTCCAGCTATAGCAGACTGAAGAGGTCAGCGAATCCTCTCCCCGAAGAACAAGTATAAAACTGAGCAAAACTGTGAAAAACCAACCATTTCTGGACTGTGGAAATCAATCACAGGCAAATAAAAAATGTGAGAAGTGTTTAATTCATGAATAGCTGCTAGAACTTCAAGTTAGACACAGAGAGCCTGCAGCCTTCTTGCCTAGAAACACTCTCATATCCCCTCCCAGCTCCATCTCCAGGGAAGCTTCACCAGAGGGAGCTGGCCATGAGAACCAATAGCTGTGCTGCCAGTGGGGCTGACTTGATTTCCAACAGACAGCAAAAACTACAGCCCTGTGGCATTGGCAATAGAAATAGCAAAACAGGTACTAAATGAAAGGAAAAATTGCAGCCCTGCTAGCCAGATCTTGCAGCCCCACTTGAGGCAAGCAGCAGACCAGCCAGAAATTTAATGGGGAGATTCTGGAAACAAGACAGTTGTGGAGGGGCTAGGTAAGTTCTCCAGGCATCCCTGGCTGACTGGGAACTATGCGCATGTGTGTGTAGGGCAGATACAGAAGGCATGATGCACAGTAAAAGCAGATGCCGACTTCATTGTTATCTGAACTTTGAATGTGCTTCCAACCCACACATAACATCCATTGGCAAAGGAGGGAAGCCTTGTGGGCTCGAGGTGTTTGAGCACAACCTCTGTCCAATCACTGGCTAACCAGCAAGCTATGCAGACATAGCTGGGTGACCCCAAGGGAGCCATGCTAAAACATGAAAATAAGAATGAAAAACAAAATAGCAGAGACATCAGCAGCCACATTTA